ATGTCATTCTAAAAAGGTGCGCATTTAAATTTCCTTTAATCTGTTAATATCAATGGATATTTTTCGACGTAGTTTGGCCGTTGAGAAATGATTTATTGTTCTGTTCGTTTTATGTAAGGAATTTATTCGTATCCTGCAGTGATTACCATTTAAGTAAACCATAGCCCTCACCCTTCAAAAAATTGTGAATGAAGGTTTTAATTCTGAAGGGCATTGCGGAGTTCACTTATGCTTCATTTTGTTCGTTAACACATTATCATTTAGACGAAACAGTCTGAATTTGTGGAACGATTTTGGAACGTCATGTTACCATACATATATTTCTATTCAAAGCACTTTGACGTTTCGCAGGAGCAGCTGCTCACCGAGTTTTTCGTGTCCGTCTCAGAGTGGTCCCTTGGCTGCGTGGCCGCTGTTTTTTCATCGCAGCGGGCATTGGATGAGAAGCTTTTTCAAGAAATGACAGTGTCTAACGAAGTGTACCTGCTCGATAGGTGCTTTTCCGCCGTAAAAGGTGAAATGGATTTCGCTGCATGTAGGGAACTTTTGGATGTTACGTCTAGGAAAGCAGAAAGATCAGATAACTCGAATGCAGGCTCTAGGTATCTGTGCGAACTTGACCGCTTGATTAAAGCAATGCAGCTGTTAGATGTGACAGTCGACGTCCGTTTGGTGTACAGTGAGTTCCGCGACATCCGTTTAGACGACGCGAAATCGGCGTCTTTCTTGAAGTCACTTATACGTTTGTTGTTGAAGAAGGGTGGGTACAAGCAAGAACAGCTGTTTCAAATGCTGACCGTTTTATCTCATCGTAAATGTATCTGCATAAGTCTTGCCGACTCTTTGAAAATTTACGCTCAAGTGTTGCTTGAGTCAAAAGACTCCTCCTTGATACAGAGCATGTCTGGGCTTATGCGGTCCGCAGATTTTTCATTGTTAGTTTCAAATGATAATTTGTGCGAAATTATTAGCAACGTTGTGCTGACTTACATAAACGAAGCTGAGTCTTGCTTTGACTCGGTGCTGCAATACGCTATAGAAGTGCTGGCTGTTTTGGATGCAAGTTGCCATTCTGCAGAGCTGAATTATCAGCAACGCTTCTTGAACGCTCTGACATGTTTGAATGTACTGAAAATCAAAGAGCGACCTCGCAGGTTGATACGAAACCGTTCGGTGCTACAAAGCAACTGGCTCGAGACGATCTTTGCTTGTGACCGGGCTTACGAACATTGCAACGAAATTTTGGACGCCGTTCATATTCTGGCTCCGGACGAATTTGCAAGCGTCATGCCCCTGGCAGTGTTGAAATGCGCTGAACAGTCGTATGGCGTTGCGAATCTGAAAGCTTGTCATAGTTTTTGCCAAAAGATAGTTTTGTCCAATTTTGCTCCCGGATGGAAAATCTGCAGTGAACTAGGAATGCGCAAGGAAATGTCCTCTTCTGACGCGACACAAATGCTGTGCTTCGCGTTGCTTCATTGCAACAGCAGAAATATTTCAAGCCTGATTAAAAATATAACAGTCAGACAGGTAGAGAGTAACGCTTCCTTATGCCCTAGTCGGAACATGCTTCGAGGTGTTGACGTGACGCCAAGCAGTACACCATCGATGCGTCCGTTCATTGAAGATTTGTTCACCAAAACCAGCGTTGACCTTATAATAGCGACGATGTCAGCCAGGTTGTTTTTCGATAAGTACACCGCATCCACCAACAGAATAGAATCTGATGGCTTACTGGCGCACCTGTCTGCGGCGTCTATTCCACAGGACCTTCGCTACGCCTTGGCATGCGTCCTGTGTATTGCGGATGGCAGTCAGGCTAGCACAGTTTTCGAGAGTGCACCCGGTTCCTTAGAACTCGCCCAGTGCGCCGTGCTTTACTACATGTTGCGCAGCGTAGACAAAAAATATCTTGCTGGCTGGTTGAATGGTGATTCATTGTCGACTACTACGCATTCGTTGACGAGTCCTTCTCAAGTTGAAGACACAGACAGTATACGCCGATGGTCGCTCGTCTACCGTCGATATCTTCGCGACATAATTATGACGATACTGCCAGAAGGTAAGTAGAAGATCAACGTATCAGGAAATTTTTTACAAATGCGGTGTTTAGGTGTGAACAAGAAATCGTTCTTTTGCAGCGTCGATTACTGCCGTGATACAATTATTGGAATGGCACTGTAAGTTTTTCATCATGCTTCCTTATTATATACAACAGCACATCTCCGGTGAACGGTTCCGAAGTGCGGTTTATTCTTCAGCACCATTCTCACCAGTGGGGGTTGGCGACCTGAATTTTTCCATTATTCTTCGTGTCGTTGCACATACAGACATGGTTTTTGCAGTTGTTGTTACATAAAGTCTCCTAAAGATTGATCCAGCTTGATCCACAAGTCAGGATTTTGTTTGGTGAAATTTATATGTGGAGTAAACTCGTTGAAGATTTTGGTGATGATATTCTGATATTCATGTTGTTTATCATCGTCATTTGGGGTGCGATGTGCTTAACAAATCTGCTTGTCCTAGATTAATGGTATCGGACAAGGAGGAGGTGATTCCTCAATTCTTTAACCATGAACTGTTTCGATTAAAGACACTTTCTGCCGCGAGTAAATCTACATATAATAGGTTTTTTAGCGTTTGAACTAGTTTTCTCTTCATCTAGCCTCGTGTTCAGTTATCTTACAAGAACAGTTCTTGTCATCTCTTCTGTTTTCTGAATCGTTTTCTCGAATCTCGAATTTCGAACTCTTCAATAAAATTCTTCAATCTGACGGTTTTGAACGTGTGATCGTTCGTTAATTGTTAATGCCAGCGAGTGTGAGGATGTTGCCAGGAAGCTTTGCTGGAAATAGTTCAGCTGATTTTCTTCAAGCTGCAGTATTGAAGCTGTTTTGAGGCCGTACAAGAGAACGTTGCAGACCACTAATTTCAAGATGGTAGCATTCATTTTTGTCTTATTGGCCGGCCATCCCCTTCTCTGTACGGCTTTTTAGAGTTAGCTATGGCAGGTCTTATGCACCAGCTGATGTCATAACCCCCGTCGTTGGCGATCACTGAAGCCAATATACAGTTGACTTCCTCCGCTATTATGCTATTCCATTTGATCTTAACTGCATCAGTCACTGAGAGTTTGCTAATCACCTTTGTTTTGGGCTGGTTAACTCGTGACAACCTCTTCTGCTTTGCTGCACGTACTGCTGTGAGGCCTTCCAAACCATTGCAGAAGTCGCGCCAGAACAATGTTCTCCGCGGACTTTCAGTTGTGTAGGTTAACCACTGGGTATTTTTACCTTCTTGGCCGATAATAAAGCCTTCCGTACCTTTTGGAACGACTGTACCCGCATTACCTGGT